ATGTTGCTGTTGCTGTTATTATTTTTTATTGTTGTTAATATTATCATTATTTCTATTATGTGAATATTATTGTAATTATATGAATGTTAATGTTATTTTGAATATTATTATCTCTTCGAAGAGTCATGCCCCTGCAGACGTTAGTTACCATGGATAACCAAACCTGTCTATCTCTCATCATTGGCAGTATATGTGCTGCTCTATATGTACCTCCAACTGCTCTGCTTATTCCCTCCATTTACTTCTCCCTCCGTCTGCCTCTCGCTCTGCTACCTGGGATTCTTCCTGCTAATCCAAGGTCCTCGATCTTTCCTCTTCTCATTAGATGTCCTACAAAACTCATTTGTCTTACTCTCGTCTTCTGCAGTTTTTCTCCTTTACCTTACCTATTCTTTGCACTTTTCATTCAGTATCCTCTCTGTTCAAGCCATTTTCAAAATCCGTTGCCAGCACCACATGAGTGGTAGTATTAGCTATTGTTATGAATGAAATTGTTATTGTTTTTGTTATTATTATTATTGATATTATTATTAATGTTATTATTATTATTGTTGTTGTTATTGTTATTATTGTTACTGTTATTGTTGTTATTATTATTGTTACTATCATTTTTATTCTTCATTATCATTATTATCATTGATAACATTATCATTATGTTGATATTATTATTTTTTATGTTATTGATAACGATATATTATTGATATCATTATGATTATGATTATTGTTATCAAAATTATATTATTATTATTATGATTATTATTATTATTAATATGGTTATTTGTCTATTGTTAGTATTATTATTTTGGTTTTGATTAGGATTGCAACTTTCATTATTGTTATTTTGATGATAATACTATTATTTTGTTATTGTTAGTAGTAGTAGTAGTACAATTATTATTGTTATTGTTGTTGTTGATTATTATTATTAATATTATTATTATTATTGTTATTATTATTATTATTATTATTATCATTATTATTATTATTGATATTATTATTATTATCATTACTATTACGAATATTGATATTTTTGTTAATATCATAACTGGTTTTGTTATTATCATTTTCATTATTATTGATGCTGTTACTAATAGTATTTATCACTACAGTGTGTAGTTTTATGAAAACTAAGATACATTTTTAATCAAAAGATCCAGAAATTTCATAAATAGATATTTAAATATTTTGTATTATGTGCTCATTGTTGTTCCACATAAATATTAACTTGTAAATTACATATGTCTATCCATGTCTATTGTCCTTTCTCTCTCTCTCTCTCTCTCTCTCTCCCTCTCCTCCTCTCTCTCTCTCTCTCTCTCTCTCTCTCTCTCTCCTTCCTTCTCCTCTCCTCTCCTCTCTTCCTCCTTCCCCTTTAATTTTTTTTCTGTCTGTTTGATGTTTGTTCTTGTAACCATGGTAGGATTTTTTCTCTTCATTAATCCTGAAACTGAACCCCCTTAGCATCTCACATCTCTCCCTTAGGTGCTGCTGGTGTCATCCCGTCGAGATTCACGCCTGTGGATAGTCCCAGGTGGAGGGGTGGAACCGAATGAGCTGCCGGACATCGCTGCCACCCGGGAGGTCCGCGAGGAGGCGGGTGTGTGCGGTATGCTAGGCCGATGCCTGGGGGTGTTTGAGGTGAGGTTGAGAGAAGTTTTAAAGGTCAGAGATATTGTTGATGTTAAGTTCAGATTGCTCAAGCCTTGCAGAAATTCCAAACTCAAAACTCCAAGGGACAATTTTCAATTCAGCTCTCATTTTAGGGGCCAACAGAGGCACATACTTGGTTTCCAAGGATTACATTAATTAAAGCTGGCTAATATTATATACCTTTGTGTAAAGGGTGAGGTAATGGTAACCAAGTGTTTATGTATATGCATTTGTCATGGACTGCTACAACTTACTATATAACTTCAATTTTGTATTTGAGGTTTACTTTGTTATGACATACATGCTGAACAAGAACTACTTGACAACTTTTATGTAGATAATTTACTAATACTCTATCATTGTCTTTTAATTTCACATGCTAATAAGTATTTTTGTCACCCCTTGCTATTTATGATCATCCTGAGGGCCACATTCCGCCTGTAAATTTGTGTTCTGCACAGTTCTGGCAACTGGAGTTTTTATTTGTGCTGAACCGTGATGTTTTGCTCACGGTTAATGGTAGTAATTGAAATGTTTTATTAATTTTAAAATATGATTGAGCTGAGGTTTAAAGCTTGGGGAGTCACTCAGACACAAGGACACAAAACAAGGCTTGATCAGTATTAATGATGATAGTTTTGGTTTTATGGCACCAGTGACCAAAAAGAACAGACATTTTATTTTGGTCATATTGTAAACTGTCCAACTACATTGTTAGGAACAAGAAAATCTAGATATTTAATTCACATATTTAAGTACACCATGGGCCAAAGTTCAGAACCCCTGCTTTATATATTTTGAAATCTGGTCTCAAGAATCATCCGTTTTTCAGAACTCTGAGCGGCGTCATCGGACAAGTGTATACGTTCTTGTGGTCACAGAAGAAATGGAGGAGTGGGATGAGTCTAAGGTGTTTGGTAAGTCAGTTTGCCTCATGTCTCACAATTCTTTCTTCTTCTTCTTCTTCCACTTTTTCATTGTGTCATATCACTACTCTATTTCTTTCTTTATGTAGATTTCTCTCTCAAATATTTTCAGACTTCTGAAGAATAAACCAAATTTTTTATTGGCTGATGATATTTTGCAAAAATATGTGAGTTAGATAGATATAAGATAGGAAGGTTCATCATATTGACTGTTGAAAAAGGCAAGGTTTTATGACGAAGATATAAAATGAAATGCGTGTGTTTTGGATTGATTTAGATAGAGAGAGTAATCTTTGTAAACTTGTAAAAAGAAATGTAGTAAATGTAGTAAAATGGAAAGGAGCAGTGATTATATATAGATGTATGAATGAATGTACCTGCACAATATTGTAAAAGAAAAGAAAATTAAATAAATAGATAAAACAAAAAAACAAAACAAAAAAAATAAAGAATGCTTCTTTATATTACAAGTATTTGAAGGGCTTGTTAGGGATAACACTTCAGTATAGCCAAGCCTTTTTAAACACTTATTATCACAGATGAATCCACCGAAGTGTAAAAAGATGTTGACAGTTATCCTTGTTTAGTTGTATACATCCATACTTTGTTTGACATCCTGTTGGATATTATGTGTCCCCATATGTATATATTCACAGTTTAGTTTATTGTGAACTGTTGTGTATCTCTTTAATTTTGTTTTGAAAGTATTATTAAGAGTATCATGGCTTCCAAATATAGCATGAGGATATTGGTGTAAACATATTAAGTGTATGAGTAATGGTTTGATATCCTAAGGAAAATTTCCAATCACCAGGGCGGAAACGCAAATGGTTTAGTGTGGAGGAAGCGGTGGAGGAGCTGGCCAAGCACAAACCGGTCCAGAGCAGCTATGTGAGCCTCCTCCTGCCCAAGGCAGCCAGGGACCACACGTGCCCCCTCTCCCCGTCCTCCTGCCAGCCAGGCATCGCTTCTTCTCACATCCCTAGTGTCATCCTGCAGGAGCGAACAGACCTCATGGTGGAGGCAGAGACGAAGGAAGAAGCAGAAAGAGAGGAGGTAGAGGAGGATGGTCTGGAGGATGGAGAGCTCATCAAGATGGGCGGGTGCTCGGCCGAGGACCTCAGCAATGGCTCAACGCCAGAAGATGGTGCCAATGACACCTAAAATCACCCCTTTTCCACCTTGTTCATTTGTCATAAGAATGTTTTCACCTCCTCTTTTTTCCTCCCCACTTTATGTTATTCATTCATTGTATTATATCATTTTTATTTTTGTTTTTTATTTGTTAATTTATTTATTATTATTTTGTTTGGTTTTGTTAGGATTCACAAAGCTCATTAAACATGCTTTCATATGTGTGTGTGCTGCAAGGCCCTCCCATACTGAGATTAGCAGGCCTTTTTGATCCTTTTCTTCTTTTCTTTGACCTGTATCATCATCATCAAACAAGTATTTATAAAGTCTTGTTAATTATTTTATAAGATTATTATTCCCTTTAATCCCTCACCCCCCCTGTACCTAATCCATTCCTTCCAAACCTTTTTTTTTAATCTAGTTTTTTCTATTTTGATTCTGAAAAGCAAGATGATAATTCTTGTATTTTTCTCATTGACTTGTTGATGTTTTGTCAGAAAAAGAGTCCTGCCTGAGTGTAATTTCATTTATTTTTCCCCAGCTGTAAAAGAGAGAGACATAGAGACAGAGACTGCAACAAAGACAGAGACAGAGAAAATAAAATAAAGGGAGAGAGAAAAAGAAAGTCACGACTTGAGTAACTGAGCTGAGTAAAAGAGAGAGAGGGAGAACGAGAGCGAGCGAGCGAGCGAACGAGCAAAAGAGAGAGCAAATGATTTTATATACTTTTTTAGAACTTCTGTACTGTTTTAGTCCATTATTTGTGTGTGTGTATGTAGGCATATATATTTGTAAATATCATTGTATTTATTTATGCACACTAACAGACACATACATGCATATACATATACCCGGTATCCCTCCTTTGCTGAAAAACACACACATGTACATGTCCTCCTACACATGCTTGTACATACTCAGGTACAGTTTGATACAAACTTATTCCCGCATGTCCCAGCTATCTAAGCCAACTTCTTGTTGAACTTAGTGTGGCTTTAACTAAGACAGGAAAGTGAATGATGATACTTTAATTTCAGATGAGGAATAGTAGTGGTTTAACTCAAATTTCAGGCAGGGAATAGGGTTACATTCTTTTTTTCTTTTTCTTTTCTTTCTTTCTCCCCAAAGATTAGGGTAATGTCATTCTAATTTACTCAGCTTTCAGCAGAGTTTGGTTGTAGTTTCTACAATTTTTTTCTTCTTTTTTTTATTAATAGGGTAACATTACAGCAGTTTCAACCAGGAAGTGGGGTGGTTTTACTCAGATTTCAGGCATGCTGTAGGGTGATGTTCCTGAAGTTTAATTTTTTCTTCAATGTGTAGGACAGTAACCACGCAAGAAATAGAGTAGTTTTACTCAGATCATGGGTAGTAAATATATTTATTTTCCTCCATATATATATATATTTTTTTTTTTCATTTATTTACTTTTTTATATACAGTAATAATGATGATAATAATAGTAATGAAATGTCACTCCAGTTTCAAGCCAGATATATGATGAGGATATTCTAGTTTCAGGCAGAAAAGTTCAAATGATGTCACCTGAAATGGGAATAATAAGATAATGATACTTCATTACAGACAAGGCATAGGGTCCAAGTAAATTATACCCAATTAAATTAAATGATTAGGAAGAAACATTGAGTGTCCGAAGGAACAGATCGTGTGTGTGTGTCATTTTTCTGCCTTGGATTTTATCATTTTTGTTATTCAAACACTTTTTGAACCACATGTAATGTGTTTGTCACTTTGAGTTCCTATATCTCTCATTTGGAATGTAAGATGAAGTCAGGGAATGAGTGAATGTAGGTCAAATATATATGTGTGTGTGTGTGTGTGTGTGTGCGTGCGTGTGTGTATAATCGTGTCTAAGTGTGTATACATGATATTTACTCAGTTACTCATTCACCTCATAATCACTTATTCTTACACATACACGTTTATGCTGTATTTATTGGTATTGATATATATGTTGTGAATCTTGTATAGATAATTCTATTGGTCCTCACATGTCGAATGAAAAGGTGCAAGATTGGTGAATTTATTTTCACTCAGATACTCAGAACACTGCCAAGAGTGTAATTGTGCTTAGTGCTCGATGAATTTAGAGTGCTTTTTTTTATCCTTTTATGAGAAAAAAGACAGATAATCTTTTATGGCTGCTTTTGTTTATTGTTTTGTTTTTGTACTAATTATTGATAAGTAGAACCCCTATAACTTGATCCTGTTTCACTTACAATATTATTTATACCATAATTCACACATACCAATCCCTCAACCTCATCCCTCTCCCCTCGACCTGATCTTTTATTACTCATACCAATTCCATTTTATGTATTTTTATCTCCATCTTCACAACTGTCGTCTCCATTCCTTCCAGCTGAGAAGGAGAAAAAAATTGTGATTTCAAAAGTTATATAGATCACGGAGAAAATATAGTGAGATTTCTTTACTTATGTGTCTATTACATTTGGACAGTTGTCATGGTAATGTTTGTAATGTTGCTATGCTTACCCATGTTCTATCATTTTGCCTGTCAGTTTCATTAGGAATGTGCTGTGTATACAATTTTGGTATTAATTTATTTCTGTGTGACTGACGGTAAGGGAGGTAAAAGCAAGCACAGACGTATGGTTATATGCATAGGATTTTATGTGGCAAAGCAAGCATATATATATATATATACATATATATATTATTTTTTTATGGTCTACAGGGTCATTTTTATTGAAATGAATATCACAGGCTGTAAATCAGAGATGAAATTTGTTACAGGAGCATTATATGCCTGGCTGCTCAGAAGGACCTCTTGTACACCATTATTTAATGACAGCTTCTTCAGTCAATAAAATTTACAATCCCTTTTAGCCAGTCTCAGTTGCTCCTACAAATCAGGCTTGAGTTTTCTTTTATGCCAATTGATTTTTTTTCTTTTTTCTTTTTTTTCTTTTTAAAATTCCTGTTAATTACTTCAATGATTTTTAAGTATGCATATTCCAGTACCCATTAATTTGTTTTGTTGTTTAGTTTATATGTTTTTTTTTTTTTTTTTTTTTTTACAAGTAATTTTTATGATTCTCATTATTGTTATTATTATTATTTATTAATAAAGTAGTTAGTTCATTTATTTATTTTTTGCATAGCTTCACACTTTTAACAAGGAATCTATCTATTAATCTCCATGTTTATATAACATATATATTCATTTTACAATACTTACTTTTTATGCTATATATTTTTGAATTCAACATATAACTTGTAAATTCATACTTAATGATACAGATAACCTCATGTATGAATGAATGTTTGTAAGTAATGAACCTGCACTCACTCATGTTCCATTGATATATACGCAAATAACATTATCTGAATACTCATCTTTATTGTGATTTTTTTATTACGTACATTTGTTTACATTACTGATATCATAGTGACTCATACATCATGCATATATTTAAGCAAGTAAATGACACAAAACGCACACACAAAGTTATTCGAAAAGATGGTGCTTCTGCAAGAGGTACAAAAGGTTCAAGAGGCACAGGTCTTCGTTTGACATGATCATCATCGTTCACTTCGCAATAGTTGGAATTATGAAATGTAAATTGTCCGTGATTACGTTTGACTTTGGATTGTCGTTAATTCCAAGTTCTTAGACAAAGACATAGTTCTGCAGAGGTTTGAAAAATGTGAATATTTGACTATTTTGTTATCGTTATTATCATCTGTTATTGTTGTTGTCATTATTTATATAATCATCATTATAACTATCGATATTATTATCATT